CTCCGCGGAGGCTGTCGGTGACAACGACGACGACCGCGCCCGTAGACTTGCTCCGAACCCCTCTGTGTGTGGCCGAATGGGCGGGCGAGAATTTCGGCACGAATCTGGGTTGGTGTACTAATCAGGAGAGCAATAAGCGGCTGCACGTGAATACGGGTTAGGCATTGCAAATATATGATCTGGGTCTGGAAGCTTGCAAAACTTTTCATGCAGGTCTGGCATGACCCAGAAGGTCTGGAAATGGAATGCGATCTCTACCTTCTTCACAATTTTTGCTTGCCTAATCTGCATCAGAAATACCGGTTTGGCGTGGCCAAACGGGGCGGGTCTTGTTGCTCATGCAATACAGAGTCTCGTACCCTCTCCCAGACCTAGCATGACGACCTCGAGGTGCGTCCTCGGACGACGTTGCTACAATCAACGAATCAATCTCCCAGGAGACCTAGCATGACAAACTCCGTCACTTCCAGAGGAGGACCCAGACATAGTTACAATGCATGCGGGTAATGGGAACACAGTTATCAGTTGCGACCAGGAGTGCCGTATCAAATGCAAATATGTCTGAGTCTGGAAAAGTGGGGCGCTTGACACGCACATCTTTGTTGCACATTTTGTATGACCCAGTATGATGTGTGTGATGTACATGTATGCCATACCATCACAGACTCTTCGTGGGCTTTATCTTGACGCGTATCACGCACGAGAAACAAATACTACACAAGTCTGTAAAGAATCAAAAACTAGACTCTCCTTGCTGGGTGTGCAAAAATGCAGATGTTCTTCGATGATTCGGAGGCAGCTGCGTCGCAAGTTCGGAACCTTTCAGACCGAGACATATTTATTTACACTGCATATGCCGGCGCACAACAGGATGCACCCACTACGTGATGGACAACAGTCAAAGTCCCATTTCATGCACATTTTACTCGGAAGGCTGTGCCTACGGCGACCGCCCACACGAGACGGTGAACGACGTGGCCAAGAACCTGATCGCGTTTTCTGTTTCCCGTAATGCAGCTAGCTGCATCGACATGCACGAAGTGCCTCGGCTGGACGACCCAACAACGAAGTGCGCGCACGTGATATTAAAAGGAAAAATCCCCCCTCCCCATATCAAAACGAAGTTTCTGATGCTGGATTTGTGTACACAAATCCGAGCTGTCTTGCTGGAGAGGACTGCAGGCCCATACCAAGTGTGAGGAGAGAGGTTTTGACCTAGGCGCTTAGCATGAAAAACGTCCGCGCTGTTGGCCCAACAGCATGACAAACCGCCTGCATAGTGCGGCGGAGCCTGTGGAGTTGCCTTCTTGCAAGACAGACAAGATTTGTTGTCACAAATCAGCAACACAAATGTCCGAAAACGTACCTTGTTAATATGGGGAGGGGGGATTTTTCCTTAAGATACGTGATTGAGGGCTGCTCGGCGGCGGCTTCGGGCACGAACGGGCGGGACACGATGACGCTGTACTCCTACCAGGACCGCATTTATGGCCTGGAAGAGTGTCGTTACCTGTGTGCGATGACGGAGAAGTGTGTGCAGTTTCATGTGAACCGGGACAGCAGTTCTGGCCCGGGGTGCACGTTGCTCAAAGGCAAAAGCTGCACGAACCAGCCGGACGCGAACTGGCGGGGATACGACCTCGACGCTTGTCCGATAAAAGGGAGCGTCTGTCCCGCCGTGGGGCAAGGCAAGTACGAGGACCACGGTTCGTGGACGACCACCAGTATCACCCGTGTGACCCAGGCCAGCAGCACGTGGGACACTTTTGTGACAGACTACGACCACTTTTGTCGCGGTCGGGGGTACCACCGCGTGTGTGGCACGATTTTCAAGGACGCCGGGGGCGGGGGCATCGGCTCGTTTGGGCAAACAGGCGGGCTGTGGCAGCCTGCGTCCATGTCTTACCTGAAATTCGACTTGGCTTTGAACGATCACAAGTGTAAGAAGCACGTGCCTCGGGTCGACGGAACCAGCTGCCCGGTGGCCTTCACTAGTCAGTGCGGAGGCAACTCCGACGGGTCCCGCAACTTGTACAGCGCCGACAACACAGCAATCTACAACGGGCAGAAGTATTCCGTAGCAGACTGCCGGTACCTGTGCGCCGAGACGCCGCAGTGCAGCAGCTTCATCCTTCAGGTGTCGGTGGAAGTGTGTACGCTGTACAAGGCGGGCTGCACTGCGGACGCGACCGACTCGGATTACCAGGCGTACCACCTGGCCTCGTGCAATCTGAAGGACGAGGGCATTGTTGGTAGTTTCGTGCCCGTCCGTTCGCTGTCGGACACCTACCACTCGCGGGCAGCGGTTCCCGGGAATGTTCTGTGGCGTCCGGAATACGATTTCACCCCTTCCTCCGACCACCACGAGGAGGTTTTCGTAGGGCAAGGAGGTTACTGTTCGCAGTTCAAGTATTGGCACGAGCTCGAGTTTCGCGACGGTGCGGCCCACTTCGTCACAGGGGTTATGCTTTTCAACCCGGCTGGCGGATTTCTAGCAACCGTGAACCAAATCGAACACAGTTTGGACGTATCGAGTGCAAATATGGTGCTTCGGTCTGGAAGATTGCAGAAGTTTGTCATGCAGATTTTCCATGCCCTACAGGTACAGAGTCTGAGATGCACCTGTATGCTAGCAGAAGGCTAGCGGGCTGTCGACTCCAAGGAACGCGTTGACCCCTGGTGGTCCGCACCGGTGTGATAGGCCCTTAGTTGAACTACGTGCGCGAAGTGGCTTCGTTCTAGGAGTGGGCCCATCCGTTCGGTCCTTCGTAGTTAGTCCCCCAGCGGGGTTCGCCAATATGTATAGGCGTTGGGTTACCCGGTCGGCAAAAAGCACTACAGCCGATCCCACGATGATGATGATGATGATGGTTTAGTGGTTTAGCATTGCAGATCTTGCAAAGTCTTTGCAGTGCCTATCTTGCGGCAGGAATCCCCTGTCAACATGTCCCAAAGCGGATGTCTTTTTTTTGTGTGACTCACATGATGCGTGGTCACAAGTTTGCAATCTTCCAGGCCCAGACATACTTGCACTGAATAGAATGGCAGCAGTTGGACGACGGTGAGTACGGGCACGTTGTCGGCCACGGGGACGTGGGTGACGCTGAACCAAAATATGAGAAAACTGCGGGTGTCGTCCAGCACTGTCAGCCCGGCGCACAATTGGCAGATTTATTGCGGTATTTGGGTCTACGAGACCACTACGACCACAACCACCACTAACTTGTTACACACGGTGACCACACAGTACGCGGACATAAGTCACTTGCCGGATCCGCTCTGCCCGGTCGCATTCCAGGGCCCGTGCACCCAGGATTCTTCCCTGAAGATCACTGATTCGTCGCTACCTGGCGGCGGCGGAACCGAGCTGCGCCAGGCACAGGACGGGGCAAGCATTGCGGCGTGCGACGCGAAGTGCCGGGCATTGGCCGCCTCAGGTGTTTCCGGGTCAGAATGCGCCTCGTTTTGGTGGGACGCAGACGCGTCGAACCCGCACTGCAGCTTCTTCCGGGCCGGTTGCCAGGAGATGGGGAGTAAGACTGGTGGGACTTATGGGCAGCTTGTGCAGTACTCGTTGCAAAAGAATAGAGATCTGTGCATCAGTAAGCATGAGGTCCCAGAAGTCGACACTGCCGGCTGCAGTCCCACGTACAACGGTGGGTGCACGCCGCCCGGTGGCTCCGTGGAACAAGAACTGCGCGTGGGCACCTATGCTGACCGTTCTTACACGCTTGACGAGTGCCGCTGGTTGTGTGCAATGACGGAGGGATGTGCGTCGTTTTTCGTGCACACGAGCACCGGGGTGTGCGAGGCGCGAAGGGCCGGGTGCACCGCGGATAGTAGCACAAGCGCGAGCATCCAGGGCTACGACTTGGCGGCCTGCCGGCTGCAGGGCCAAATCTGTCCCGCCGCCTGGGGCGGTTGGTGCGCGGAGAAGGATGTGTTGCAAATTCCGTCGGGAACCATCACAACGGTCGACCAGGCGGCAACACTGAAGGACACTCGGGTCGCCGACTTGGATCTTTACTGCCGGGGACGCGGGTATGCTGCGAACTGCACGTCTGTGTCGCGCAACCAGTTCACGGGACATGTGTCCTACTTCAAGGACGGCTGCTCTCCGGACTACACCGCTTGGAACCAGGTGCAGTGGAGCCTGGTACTGAACAAAGTTAAATGCCGAAACCCGGGTATCGAAAGGAAAAATCCCCCCCCCATATCAAAACGGAATTTCTGATGCTGGATTTGTGGGCGTGGGCGAAACTGGTACCGCTAAGAGGAAGTGGAACAGTCAGCGGCCCGAACTCATCGGTTTTGTGCACACAAATCAGCGTCGTATTGCAGAGATGAATTGCGGCTAGATCCCCAGGCTAGGTAGGGGCGTATGGGTCTAGTTGTTCAGCATGGCAAACGGCTCCCCTTTAGGCCCAACAGCGTGGCCTTCGCTTTCATAATGGGGCGGAAGCTTCTGCCCTTGTCTTCTTACAAGGTAAATGTGATTTGTGGCCGTAAATCAGCAACGCAAACTTTCGGAAACATACCTGTTCAATATGGGGAGGGGGGATTTTGCCTTGTGATCCCGGGGCTCGTTCCGCGCGTGGCCAGCTGCAACTCTGCTTTCCAGGGCTACTGCGCCAACTGGAAGGACAAGATGATTGGGGCCGGCGTTTACTACAATGACCGGGCGTACACGATCGCGGAGTGCCGCTACTTGTGCGCCGAGACGCCCGAGTGCGGCGGGTTTTTTATGAAGATCGGGATCAACGACTGCAGTCTGTTCAAGGAGGGCTGCGACAAGACGATTGAGCTGCCCCGGGATCACCACCACTACCGGATGGCCGAGTGCGGTCTGAACAGTGTGGACGAACAGATTACGGGGGCCTATGTCTCGTTCGCGGCGTTGAAGGCCAGTTTGTCGGGCACGAGTGACGCAGCAGTGCACTACGGCGCGAAGGCGTTGACCCAGCGTCGGGAGTACGACTGGTCGACCCACACCTCCAGCAGCGCCGGAACGTCGTGCCTGGTCGCGACGCAAAACTCCGGCGTGGGATGGTGGGAGGCGGAGTTTCGGGACAACATGTTTCACAACATCACAGGGCTGATGCTTTTCCAGCACGGAACCTCGGGGGGCTGCAGTGCCGCGAACGCGCCCACGACCTCATCAAGAAGAAAAATCCCCCCTCCCCATGTCAAGACGGAAATCTGTGATGCAGATTTGTGGTCACAATTGTCATGCTAGACGAAAAAAGTAGATGCGGACTGTAGTGCTGGGTGGCGTGGGAAAGCCTTGCATCTTCAGCATGACAGGAGGCAGCTGCAAGTGGGAAAGAGCATGACAATTGGCCTGCAAACGAGGCCGCAGCTGCGGCTCTTGTTGGCCTTCTCGCAATACAAGTCGATTTGTGTAAGTACTCAGATACAGTAACAGTGTCACAAGTTTCGTTTTCGGTATCGGGAGGGGGGGTCTTATTTCCTTTTGATAGCCCTTATCCTACGAGGGCGTGTCCGACGGGGACGGAACGACCCCAACGACGTTCACGCAGGATCTGGGCTCGCTCGCCGAGACCGGGACCTGGGTCGAGGTGGGACGAAAAGCGAGCAAGTTGCGGCTGAGTGTGGCCGGGAACAACCTATGCCTTTGCGGAGTTTGGGTGTACGAGATCCCCGGGGCTGCAGGCGGCGCCGCCGCCTCTTCCACGACCGCGGACGCCTCTGCGCAGGCGCGAAACTACAAGGCCTCCATTCAATCGCTGGCGTCGCTGGGCACCAACGCGAGCGGGCTGTTTGAGAACCTGTTCCAGGGCTGCAGCAACCTGACGACGCTGCCCGACCCCGCGGTCTTCGCGCAGCACTGGGACGCGGTCAGCTCCGCGGCCAACATGTTCTCGGGGGCGAGCAACCTGGACTCGAGCGCGGTGAATGCAGCACTCGGCGGCTGGACGATGTCTTCTGTCACCAACATGACAGGGATGTTCAAGGGCACGACAAAGATGACGGGCGGCCTGTCCATCATGAATAACTGGGACATGAGGAAAGTGGTTTCCTTCCGCGGGATGTTTGCGGCCTCGCGCATTTCCACGTTGGCGAGTATCACCAACTGGGACGTTTCCGGCGCCACAGATTTTTATCAACTTGAGGAAAAATCTCTCCGCCCCATAGTGAAAAGGTACCACAGGAGGGAAATTTGTGTTACTGAGATTTGTGTACTTACGCAAGAGCATGAGCCAAAGAAAGCACTGGGCAGCAGGCCATCTGCAGGGCGTTTCAGCCTGCAGCAGCAGCGTCTGTCATGCTGGTGAAAAGCTAGACTTCTAAAAACTTAGATAGGCCCAGCATACTCCTCCACTCTGTTTCTCCAAGACAGAACTGTGACAACAAACCTGCGTCACAGGTTTTCCCTAGGAATATGGGGAACAGGGCGGGGGATTTTTCCGCGCGATAATTTTCACTCCATGTTCAAGGACGCCGACACGCTGACGCTCACCGAGGAGATCGAAGACTGGAATCTCGCGCAGGCGAAGATTCTTACCTCGATGTTTGAGGGCAGCGACCTGGTGAATCCCGTGGTCGCGAAGTGGGACGTGTCCAAGGTGCAGCACTTCGACTTTGTGTTCAGGGACACGAGTGCGGCCACTCCGGACGTGAGCAGCTGGCAGGTGGGCAGTGGCGAGACGTTCGAGGGCATGTTCGCGGGGGCGAAGAAGTCCAACCCTGCGGTGGGGGCCTGGAACGTGGGCAAGGCGACCCGGCTCTCCTCTCTCTTCGCCGACAACGAGGTTGCCACGCCCGACGTTGCCACCTGGGAGACTGGAAGCGCGGTGTACCTGGATGCGGTGTTCGCGAACGCGACGTTGGCGGATCCGGACGTGCGCCTGTGGGACGTGTCCAAGGCGGTGCTGCTCAACTGGACCTTTTCCGGGGCCGTGGTCGCGTATCCTAAGTAAAAACGTCCCCACCCCAGAGTTGTCATACAGATTTGCA